GGGGGGCCCAGCTCAGGGAAAGCACACAGTGCCCCAAGCAACACCACCTGGCAATGGCCAAGCACCTGCTCCGTCCATCCGTGAGGCCCAGAAAGGGGAGACACCTGCCCGAGGCCCTTCACAGGCTGCAGCCCTGACCCACCCATGCCCCCAATCCCGCCCCACCAAGGCCACAGCTGGTGGTTCCCCAGGAGGGTCTTGGTGCCCAGTGCCTTGTTCTATGGCCCCTCTCAAGATGGAGGTCAGAGGTCGCAGGCACTGCCCACACCCACCCCACGCAGGAGGCCTACCTGGCCCACGGTGACTAAGGCCCCTCGGCTGGACGCCATGGTCGCACCTGAGAACAGTCTCCTCAAACCCTCTGCACAAGCAAGGGGTGAGGCAAGGGGTGAGGCCAGGCACCTGGCCCAAATCCCTCGGTGCCCAGTCCTGCACAGCGCTGCCCACCCTGCCTGCAACCCCAGACCCTCGCCTGTGCACAGCACCTGCCCCTCACCTTCACGAGCCACGCGGTACAGGCCATCCAGCGCATGGGCGTAGCTGCCGGGGACACAGAATGACCACATGAGACTCCCCCGACCACTGGCTCCCACAGAGGGTCCTCCCAGGCCCTGTTGCAGGCCGGGGGTTCTTGAGGAAGCAGAGGCCTCATGGGCCTGAAGATCTCTCCCTGGGAACATCTGAGGCTGGTCCTACCGTCCCATAGCCACTCCGTCCACCCCGCCTGGCCCTCAGGGAGGAGGTTCCATCTTTTCCAACAGAGTCCCTGGATGGGCACCGCTCCTCAAACACAGGCCTCCTGCCTGCCAGCCCCCGGGAGTCCGGAGGGAACACAGTCTGTGTGCACAGCTAGGAGCCAGAGCTCCCCAGGGGGCCTTGGAAGCGGCAGGGAAAATGGCTCACGCTACAGTTGAAGCGGACCCCAGGCCCTAGAAAGGCCCCGGGCCATGGCAGGAGGGTACAGCTGCCCTGAGCTGGGCAGGGAGGCAGTGCCTCCTTCAGGCGTTTCTGTTGCACGCGCTCTCTCCATACCTGCGGCCTTCACCTCCGCACTCAACGCCCTGGGTGCAAGCAGGCCCAGCCCGCAATCCAACCAGGCTCTCCCCGCAGGAAGAACCCAACGGTCCTGGGGGGCGGAGTGACACCCCTGAGTCCAGAACAGCCGTCAGGACCCTCCATGGACCATACAGGCACCGCAGCCTGCTGGAGTCCCAGCTAGGTCACGGCACAGCAGCTGGGGGTCTGCTCCCGCCCAAGCCTCCTGCACCCCAACCACCCCGAGAAGGCAGAGCTGCCCATGACTCACTTGCGCCGCTGACCCTGGGGCAGCTTCACGTCATTCTGCATCCTGAAACAGAAGCAGGTGGCGGGAGGGGCAGGCAGGCTGAGGGGCCTGGGCAGCCCTGGCAGAGCCCCACGGGCAGCAGGGGAGCTTATGTTGGTCAGCGGGGCCCACAGGACAGGGCACGCCAGGGCTCAGGGACACCCACCCTCCTATGCCCAGGACACCAGGGTCTGAGTGGCTTGTTCCAGGCTGACCCCACCCTGCGAGCAGCCCTGACAGGCCCTAGCCTTGCAGGTAGGGTGGAGGGGACACCAACCTGACGTTGACCAAGTCCGCGGGCGTCCCCACGAAGCCTCCAGCTAAACCTGTGGTGACACAAACCCCAGAGACGAGCAGAATGACACGTGGCATCCTCAGCCCACCTGGCCGCCCCGTGCCCCTCCCACCCGGCAGCTCACCGCTGATGGAGCCCAGCAACACCTTCTGGTGGAAGGGGAGGGGCCCCTGGCTGCCCTTGGCCACGCGGTCCCGCACAGTCTCGTAGATGGCGAACCGAGTCAGGGAGTAGGTCATCTGGGGGAGAAGGGCCCGGCTTGGAGGGGTAGGCACGCCCCACACCCCTCAGCCTCACCACCCTGGCCCAGCCAGGCCCCCCTCAGCCCAAGGGTCCACAGGGACCCTGAGGGGCCATTGGGCCAGCATGCAGCCGAGCCAGTTCACAAATCTAGAGCTGCACCCTGCTTTCTCCCTCCCTGGGCCTCAGTTTCCCCACTGGTAAGCGACGGCCTCAGGCCCAGCCCTGAGAACTGGGTGGCTGCCCATGGAAGGCCCACCCTGGGGTCACCAACTCTCGGCCTGCTAGGTCCTTCCTTGCACAAAGTCTTGAAACAGAGATGGAAGTAGCTTGGATGCCCACTGCAGGACTGAGCCCGTATGGGAGCCCCGAGGGGTCGGGGGGAGTCCGAGACTGGCACCCACCGCACACCTGTCTGCACAGCGAGGCGCTCAGGCCGCTGTAGAGCGCCAGGATGCCGTCGGTGCGCACCACCCGCAGTGCCATGCCCGTCATGCGCAGCTTCACCTCCTGCTGCGTCTGCAGATGCACCTGTGGGAGCGAGTGTTCTCAGACCCCACAGCGACCCCAAGGGATCGGTGCCAGGTCCATCCAGAGAGGCGGAAAATGAGGCAGGAGACAGTGATAAGGCCTCCCACGGCCCTGCCCAGGGACTCCACACCCCCGCTTGGAACCAGCTCACACCATTGCTTTCCAACAGCAACCACATCAGCGGACATGGAGCCAGAGGCCATGGAACTGAGAGTGCCCGTGACCCCGCGGGCGCCCGCGCTGCACCTGAGTCCTGGCTGCACTGGCCTCAGGGGCTTGCCATTGTCCTTCTGCAGATGAGGAAACTGAGGCACTGAGCGGTAACGCACCCGCTGGTGCCATCAGGATTTGGGCCCAGCGAGGAGACCCCAGAGCCCTACTTTTTATCCACCACACCATGTCTCAAGAGGGACAAACGTTTACGGGGACTCAGAAACGGCCAGGGAGCCTGCAGGACCATGGGAGACTGAGGAGGTAGCCAGAAGGCCTTGAAAGGCAGCAAGAGCTCAGCAGCGGACAAGGGTATGATGCAGCTGGCCGCAGGGCATAGCAGCCTTCTCCGCAAAGCACCTAGGAGCTGCGGGCAGGCACTCGGGGGCCATCAGCCTGACAACCTCCCATTCCGTTGGCCTCCACCACTCATAGGACCTCTGCCTCCTGGCCTGGCCAGCTGAGAGCTCCAGGCAGAAGCAGGGTGGGCCAGGGCCAGAAAGGAAGGCCAGCATCTGGCCCAGGATCCCAGCTCCTGGGTCCCACTCCCAGCACTGACCCCAAAGAAACCCATCCACTGCTCAGTGTGACCTGCACACACGCGGCCCCTGTCACGCATACCCAGGGGGGCGGCAAAGATGGGTGGGGACAGAGAGGAGCCTCCCGTTGTGCTAGCCCAGCAGAACAGAGGGACTGGGCCACACAAGCAGTAGCCCCTGTCCAGGCCAGATGCCACAGCAGGGACTGTAGGGACATGGGACAGAGTGATCAAGAAGCTTTAAAACGATCTTTCCACAGCCAGAGAGCCCTGGTGAGCAGTCCTCAGGGGCACACCCTGACCACAGCCCCATATGCTGCCAGCAGCTGGCTTCTTCCACCCTCCCAGGCCAGAGGGCAGTCC